AATTTTCCAGAGCTTTCTTTTGTTTTTATTTTTTATACCTAATATAGCCTCCTGTTCTTTTTCATGGGTGCAATATCCTCTTGAATTATTGGGACAATAGAGGGCACTTGCTCTTTACTATTTTCATATAATCTGGGGAAGAAAATCAAAAAGGCACTGCAGAAAAACAGAAAAATGATAAGCTTTTGGGGGATGGCATTGCTGGGGTTTTCTTCTCTTTTCTGCTCAGATTGTTGGATCACACTTACTCCCTTTCTACGTATTTGATTTCTATCTTAAATGTTGGAGACTTTTTCCACATTTCCTTATGATTAGGTTCAAGGTTAAATAGACTTTGGCAGGAATATGCAGTAAGTAAATATGTCACATCAGGGATCACATGATGTCAAGCTTGCCCTTTTGTTAGTGATACTAAGTTTGGAGCCCTGGTGTGAGCTGTAGGATAAGTACTGCACTGCTAACCGCAAGATCAGCAGTTCAGACCCACCAGTCTATCCTTAGAATCCCTATACAGGGTGGCTCTGAGTCAAAACTGACTCAGTTTGCACGTTTAAAGTAATGTCAGCCAGATTCTCCGTTACACCTTTTTATGTTTGTTAAGTAAGTGATCTTGGGATGATAGTTTCAGAAAGTGTAAGTATTCATATGAATTTAGGAATTCTTTTTTGAAATAATATTTTAAATTTTATTGTTATTCATTTGAATGGTCAGATTGTCCAAATTTGCCCTGGAAGAGCCCTTCCAAACTGGCTTCTGTGTCTTGCATTTTTTTGTTTTTGTTAGCAGCATGCTTTCTTTTTTTTTCCCTTCTCTGTCCACATCAGTTTGAACACTTTAGTCTGGCACAAGGTGTTACAGGCTCACCTTGTACTTTTCCTGCCTCAGGTTTGGAATCTGCCATTTCTTCAAGGACATCTGATTCTTTTTCTTGGGGACTGATATTTAGAAATGGGGTCTGTGTATTGCTACTAGAGTGTCATTGCTTCTAGGCCAGACAGAGGTAAGATACATCTGTGAGTTTTTATGTGTGCGTACCTAAGAGCACACACCTTTCTTTGTGGTTGTTTATTTGATATCTAACTCAGAAACCTCTTGCTGTCAAGTTGATCCTGACTCGTAGTGGTTCAGTAGGACAAAGTAGAACTGCCCCATAGAGTTTCCTAAGTTGTAAATTTTTACAAAGCTGAGTGCCACATCTGTCTCCCTAGCAGGACTGGTGGATTCAAACCACCATCCGTTTGGTTAGCAGCTGAGTGCTTAACCACTGCTCCACCAGGAGCACATATTTGGCACATATTGCTTTGTTCTTAAGTGCTGTTAAGTCGGTTCTGACTCACAGCAACTCCATATAGGGTGTCCAAAGTGAGTTTGAACTGTCGACCTTGTGGTCCAAACCGACTTTGTGGTCCAGTGCTTAATCCCACAGCACTACACCAGGATTCCTATTTGGCATATGGTTAGGTTTATATTTAATACGAGGTAGGATTGTCCCACTAATTTGTGTTGATCTATTTTAATTTTGAAGATATAAATCATTAATATGGTTCAGGAGTTATAAAACTTCCATTAGAAGGAGTACATTCTTTACTGTCTCTCCCACTGTCTTCTCACTATCTGTTGATAACAGGTAAACCGTAATTTGAGGTTTATCCTGATTTTCAGGATGAGGGATTTTTGGATCAGAAGATAATATATGTAATGTGGCTGTTGTGGTTGTTGAGTGCCGTAAGTAGGCTGCCATTTCACAGTGACCCTATAGAGGGTTTCCAGGGAACAGCTGGTGGGTTTAAAGTGCCGACTTTGTAGTTAGCAATCCAGTGCTTATTTTACAGCAGCACGCCAGGATATTGCCAAACTGCCTGCCCTTCCATAGCCATGGCACTCTTCTGCTGTGGTCCCAGCATTGTATGGACGTGCCCATTTCCTCATAGTGTCATCTGAAGAGTACCTTGTCAAATTTTGGAGATTTTGCTAATATGGGAAATTCACTGTATTTAACTAGTCCTTATACATAATCATTTTCACTCTGGAAGTTGGATGACTCCCAGTGAGCTTTGTAAGTTAACACTTCACCTTGGGGGTTGATAAGACAGGGTGCAGAACTGCTGCATGCAGTTAGGATTTGCATTTCTACTCCAGGTAATAGAATCAGAGTCTACGATTTAACAAGATTTCAAGATGATTCTTTTACATCCCCAGGTGATTCTTTATGTGTACAAAAGATCCCAGGGGATCTTGTTAAAGATGTGGGTTCTGATTGAGTTTATCTGGAAATGCAAATTCTCAGCAGGGGTTGAACCAGAATGAACCAGTTCTAAGCCCTGGTTTATAGTGCAACACTTTAGTTTGATGAATTCGAGTTTATATGCCAGTGCTTGAGGAGTCCTGGTGGCACAGTGGATTATGCATTGAGCTATTTTAACTGCAAGGTCACCGGTTCAAACCTACCAGCATCTCCGTGGTAGAAAGATGTTGGCTGTCTATCTGCTCCTGTAAAGATTTACAGTTTTGGAAAACATTAAGGAGTTCCCCTCTGTATAGTTCTCAGCTGATTCTTATCTGTAGCCACAAAATGGTGTGCCTCTTGCCACCTTTTATACCTCTCTTGGGAGCTGCAAGGACATTGATTAATAAGTTCAGAAGTCCAGGACAAGGAAAATAAAGATGGCACATTTTCCTTGTTTAGCACTGCGCCCTCACTGTCAGTTTGTATAGAAATGGAACGCTAAGAAGTTTTTCAGATTCCGGGCAATGGATTGTTAGTTGTTATGTGCTGTGGAGTCGGTTCCGACCCAAAGTGACCCTGTACAGGGTTTCCAAGGCTGTAAATCTTTACGGAAGCAGAAAGCCTCATCTTTCTCCCATGGACTAGCTGGTAGTTTGGTAGTTTCCAACTGCAGTCCCTGAGGTTCGCAGTCGGCTTCGTAACCACTATGCTACCGGAGCTCTTTGGATTGTTAGTTGGGCCCTATTAGTTTGATGCTGCTTGAGAGGTTCTTCCTTCTCACATTTTACCCATAGTTCACTGTGTTTGCTGTAGACTGTTTGGAGACCATAGCTACTTTGTTATCCATTTTAGATGTATCCCTTCCTTCCCACTCCTTTGTTTTTCTTTTTTTAGGAAGGAAAAGTAAACATATTTTTGTTACTTTTTTTTTTTTTTAAAGATACATTTGAATACAAGTTTTTAAAAGGAGTTAAATCATATATTTCATTTCTGAGATTGATGCCAAGAATTTACTCCTAATTCGTCTGAAGTTCTGTATGAGGTATGTTTGTCGTCTGACTCATTTGGTCGCAGCCATCGCGACAGAGGAAGAGAACCTCTGAAAGGATGCACAGGTCCCCGGACTTGAGAGCTGCCAGAATCCGAGGCGGCTGGTTTCTTCCATTACCCTTCTCATTAACTAGTCTGTCATCTGTCTTGTCTGCCCAAGAGCTCCATGTGGAACTTTGCCCTCTCCTGGCTTAGTGTTAATTTCTCTTCCATCACAGGTTCAGCATCACCCACCATGGGCACTTGAGTCTCTCTCTCACGGACCTGTGATCTGTCTGCTTCCACTGTTGGTTGCTGACCCCGTGTAGACTTTTGCTGTTTCTTAGTCATATTTCCAAGGAAAACCTGACCAGGCTCACCCATCTGTCTGTGTCACTTGATTTGTCTCTAGCCAAGCGATATATAGGCTGCCTCTGGATCAGAGCAGCTTTGGGTGTGTAAGGGAAAGAAGGGGCAGTAGTGGAGGTAGACGATGATATACGAGGGTGGTTCAAAAAGTTCATAGAAAAATCCCATTATCTTTTAATTCCGATTTTCCATTAATTTTTTTTTGAAGCGCCCCTCTCCCCAAATACCTTGACACTGCCTAAGCATCCAGGAACCATGTGGGTAGGACCGTTTCCCTTGGCAAGAGACAGTAGGCCTGAGCTTAATTCATAAAGTCTCTTCTCCATCAGTATACCATTTTATGCCCGTATGTGGTAAAATACAACAAATAACAAACTAGTTCTAATTTCAACCATTTTAATTTGTGCATTTCAGTGATACTAGCTATATTCCTCAAGTTGTGTAGTATCAACATTACTGGCTTCTGAGGTGTTTCATTCACCCTTACCAGAAACAGTTTAAGTAAATGTTGTTGTTGTTGTTGTTGTTGTTGTTGTTAAGTGCCGTAGAGTCAGTTCCGACCCATAGCGACCCTGTACAGGGTTTCCGAGGGTGTAAATCCTTACGGGAGTAGAAAGCCTCATCTTTCTCCCGCGGAGCGGCTGGTAGTTTCGAACTGCTGACCTTAAGGTTCGCAGCCCGATTCGTAACCACTACGCTACTGAATACTGTAGGAAATGAGCCAATAGTTGAGTGTCAAAACTGGCTACAAACATTCACCTTGGTTTGATGCTGTTTTCGTGTTTGTATTGTGACTTTAGACGCATGGTGTGGCAGAAGGACCACTGAACTAGATATCAGGAGTCCTAAGTTCTAGACCTGTGTTTGCTGTTCTGCAAGGTTTCATTTTCCCAGTCAGATACATTCAAAGGTTGGTGAGATGTAATAGTTGCTAAGGTTCCATCTAGCTATAACAATCTGTTTCAAAATCTGTACCAAGTTTGGAGAGGTAGTTTAGCAACAAGTTGGTTAGAATCTTAAAATATAATAATAGGAAATCCTAAGTGTAGTCTAATGGAAAATATTAGAAACAAGAAGAGTGTTGTTTGAACCAGTCCTTTAGGAAAAGATACTGAAGTTTTAGAGTGGACCATACTGTCCTCATTTGAACTTGTCTTATTGAAAGATGGGCTTCAGGATGGTGTTGTTAACCTGGTTGTAAGTCAGATTTTGTAGTTACAAGTTCTTTTCCCAACTTAAGTTGTATATAATATACATATATTACTGTAAGTGTAATATTGGTGTTGAAATGCTCTGGTTCTCTCATGCTTTTTAGAAACCATAATCAGATGTTTGTTATGGATAGTTAAGTAATTTGGTTTTCTTTGCTTTTTAGGATTTAAATGCCCTGTATGCTCAAAATTTGTACCCTCAGATGAAATGGACTTGCATCTTGTGATGTGTTTAACGAAGCCAAGAATAACCTATAATGGTAAGTGCATTGCTTTGAAATAGTATTTTCTTTAGAATTACCTTACATATTTTGGATTTCATGTTTCAAGTAAAATTTAAAAGGAAGGAAGGACCTTGACTTTCTCTCTGTCTTTGATGTTGTTAAGTGCAGTCCAATCACTTCTGACTCATAGTGACCCTGTATACGGTTTCCTAGAAGCAGCTGATGGGTTTGAACCATCAACCTTGTGGTTAGTAGTTCCGTGCAAATCCTAGTGTGCCACAGGCCATTCAAGCAGTGGTTCTCAAATGTTTTGGTTTCAGGACCCTTTTATATTTTACACTCTTAATTTTTAAATTATTGAAGACTTTAAATTACTTTTGTTTACGTGGATTGTACTATTGATATTTACTACGTTAAAAATGAAAAGTTTTCATTTTATATATTAGTTTATTTAAACATAACAACAACAAAGAAAAAACATTGTATGGGGGGATGTATGACATCAAGTCGGTTCTGACTCACAGGAATTTGTATAGAGTTTCTGAGGCTCTTCATCCTTACCTCATCTTTCTCCCACATCTTTCTCCCACACAGTGGCTGCTGGATTCAAACCGCTGGGTTTACAGTTAGTCCAGTGTGTAACTCACTGTGCAAACCCACTCTGTTGTTGTTGTTGTTGTTATGTGCCATCGAGTCGTTTCCGACCCATAGCGACCCTGTATAGGGTTTCCGAGGGTGTAAATCTTTACAGGAGTAGAAAGCCTCATCTTTCTCCCGCGGTGCAGCTGGTAGTTTCGAACCGCTGACCTTAAGGTTCGCAGCCCGATTCGTAACCATTACGCTACCAGAAACCCACTCTAGACTGACATAAATTTTAGATGAAAAAATATATTTTCTTAGACAGAAATATTAAATGAGTGACACTGTTTTACTACGTTTTTGCAAATTCTGCAATATCTGGATTAGTGGATGACAGAGAGTTCCCGCACCTGTTTCTGCATTCAGTCTGTGTTGATATGACATGTTATGTATGTATTCTCTCAAATACTTGAAATGAGGTAACTGGAATAAGAAAGACTGATAATGTCTTAGTATTATTATGAAAATGATTTTTGCCTTGTAATACTAAAAGAATCTCAATTAGCATGAGCTTTTCGGCTGTTTCCTTTACTCCCCAGGATTCCTTGTGCTATCTTCCTTGAGGACTGCTGCATTGAAATAAAATCACTTTTAGGTCAGGCCTAAGTAAAAAGTAATATTAACACTGGCTTTTTTTTCCCCCCTAAAAAGTTAAGTAGAAATGGTTTTGTTTTGCTTGTTGTTATAAAGTGCCATCGAGTTGATTCCAACCCATAGCGACCTTGTATAGGGTTTCCAAGGAGCAGCTGGTGAGCTTGAACCACTGACCTTGTAGTTCAAACGACGTTGCAGTCCGAAGCCCACAGCGAGTGCCACACTAGGTCTCTTTGTTTGGCTTAAGCGTGTGGAAATGAAAGATACTCATTTAAGAGTTGTTGTTAAGTTAGTTCTGACTCATGGGTTTGAACCATCAACCTTGTTGTTAGTACAGGATTTCCAAGGAGTGGCTGGTGAGCTTGAACCCCACCGACCTTGCATTTAGCAGTCTGGTACTTATCCTATAGCACCACACCAGGACTTGTCGTCACTATTAATTAGTGTTGACTATATACATACATAAGGAGCTCTGGTAGCGTAGTGGTTACGAATTGGGCTGCGAACCTTAAGGTCAGTGGTTCGAAACTACCAGCCTCTCCGTGCAAGAAAGATGAGGCTTTCTACTCCCGTAAAGAATTTACACCCTCGGAAACCCTGTATACAGGGTCGCTATGAGCAGAACTGACTCCACGGCACACCACCACCACCATATACATATAGCATGTTCCCCCATGAATGTCTGAAAGTGACAAATGAGATAATTAGTAACTACTTTGAGTAGTAAATATGCCTGTTTATTAAATCTAAGCCTTTTGCATTTTAAAAATCAGTTGGTTGTTTTTTATAATCTAGTTGAGTCCTGGTGTGGCACTGTAGGATAAGGACTGGACTGCTCAC